TTTGTGCGCCTCCGGGCGCGCCGCCGTGGGTTCGGGCGGCGAGCGCCCAGGCTTGCGGGCGCCGTCCGGTTGCTTTCCGGGGGGCCGGCGCCTGTTTCTCAGCCGCCCTCCCGATGTGGCCGGGGCTCCGGGTCGAAACTTCCCACGGGCAGCCTCGCCCCGGCCTCCCGCTCCGGCGGCCGTGCGAGTGTCCAGCGCGTGTCCTGCCCGCGGGTCTGCGCCCAGTGTTCCCCGAGGCGCGAGAGCGGTGACCCCGACGCTGTGACCCCGGAGCAGAGGCCTTCGGGCGTCGCACCGAGTGCAGAAAGTTGGAGAGTCACTGTGTCAGGGTTGGGGGGCCTCCCTGTGAGCTTTGGGGTTCCTCTTGCAGTCACAGGCCCGGGTTTCCCGTGCCCAGGCAGAGACCAGCGCTTTAGAGGTGTTGAGCAGCACTGGGCCGCTGGTGACCGCCCCCTCTGCACCCGCAGGTGGCCAGGCCTTCCCGCCCTCCCCGCCTCACCCTGGCCGTCTCCACCTCCCCTCACCCCCAGCCTCCTGGGTCTGGGCTTCTGCCTCCGGTGGCTCCTGCCGAGTTCCCGCCCTCTGTCCTGGGCGAGTCCTGCTCAAAACTTTGAGCTGGCTACTTGGTGCTTTCCGCCGTCTCCCGCCCGCAGGGTGTCTGCAGTCCGGGACCTGAGGAAGGCTCTTCCTTCGCCGCCTTCTGTGTGTAGTTGTGCAGCCGCAGCCGCGGGCCGGGCCGGCTGGCCTGCAGTAGGTGGGAGCGGGCCGGCCGGCCACCCGACTGCCGCTCCCAGGAGCACGGCGTTGCCTGCCCGGGGAGCCTGCAGGTCTGAGCCCCGCGGGCCTGTGGAAGCAGGCGGTCGGCGCTGTGCGGCGCTTCTGCCCCGATGCCGGTGTGCTGGGCGCCGCGGGCACCTGGCCACGCTGTGCGCCTTGGCCTCGCGACAGGAAAGGGCCCACGCTGCCCTTCGGATTCGCCCAGCCTCTGAGCTTCTCTTCCCGTGAAAGCCTGTGCTGGCATGTCTAACCGGCAGCTGCTGCTGCTGGGAAGAGCCACCGGCATTTTCTGCCGGCTCTGGGACCCTGGGGTCGGTGCGCCCTGCACGCTCACTGTCTCCGAGGTCAGCGCCCCCCGTGGCCACGCCGGCATTCTGTGCTTCTGTCCTCCTTTCGTGCTTGGCTTCCACGTGGGGTTTGCACGGGCTGTGGAGAGAGTCTTCCAATGCGATTGACTCAGCTCTCCGTCTTTAAGGTCTCTGCGTCTCCCGTCGGGGTGAGCCGGCCGCGGCCTCGCTGCGAGCGTAGGTACAGACGTCCGCTAGCCTTCCCTCTCTCTGTCGTCGTCTGCATTTAAACCGAGGGGCCTCAGAGTCGTCATTTGGGCCCTTCTGAGAACCTGGAGTTTGCGTGGAATTGCGTTGAGTTCATGAACAGAACTTGGGGTGCTCATCATTTACAGCCTGCGCGCGCTCATCCAGCAGCAGGAGTGTTTTGCCAGGTTCTTATTTTAAAGTTTTACTTATTTATACATACAAGAACAGGGTACAGGCCAGAGGTGCGGGGGATGAGAGGCCTCCCCAGAGACTGGGGAGCAGGACAGGCGGATCCACTGAAATCCTCTGCTGAGGGAGCAGCGGGCAGACGGAGGGGTCTGCTGCGCCCTCGGGTCTGTCCCTGCGGGGATCGAACTCAGCTGCGTGGCTGCCCGCCCTTCACAGTGCTGTCACCTGTGGTGCCCGCAGGGAGGCCCCTTGTCAGGTTCTTCTTGCGGCAGCCGGTGAGGGAGTCTTCTCCCTCTTCCTGCGCCCGCACCTGCCCTCTCTCGGGTCAGCTTGGCTGGTCACAGATACTTTGTAAAGGCCGTCGGGATGGCACAGCACTTGTGTCCTCTCGCGGTAACTGTTGCTGATTTTCTGTAGTTTTTTGTTTTTGAATGATACACAACTGACTCTTTGGAATGTATCACTTTGGCCCTTTAGATTTTTTAGCTTGAAACTCATACTTGCAGTCTTTCCTACTCTCATATTTGTATCTTTAATTTTCTTGCACCTTAGAGAAGCAATCGCTGCGCACCCTGCAGGGTGTTATTGGCTAGTGTGAGTGACCCTTGGGTGCTGGATGCCCGTTCCTCGTCTCGTCTGAGTTTACTGAGGCTGTTTAAGTGTCTTACCCTTGAATGGTATTTGTTGCAGGCTTCAGAGGTACTAAGAACCTTTACTTCTTGAATTGGGTTTTTAACTTTATCAAGTGTATCTTCTCCAGCTGTGGAGGAAACGGATAGGAAGCCCCTTCTTTATTCTTAGTACAGTAGGCTCCGTTGGTAGGTGCCGGGTCTGGACCAACCATGCGTTCTTGGGCTCAAGCTGCCTGGTATTGCCTGCTTTACTTTTTAAAGATATATTTTTAAAACATTTATTCTGTTTATGTATGCCAAAGGCGTGTGTGAGAGGACTCCCCAGAGACAGCGTGGGGAGCAGGACAGGCGGACCCATCGAAACCCACCGCGGAGGGGGCAGCGGGGAGCAGGAGAGGTCTGCCGCTGCGTGGGTCATCCCCGGGCGGGGGTCGAGCTCGTGCCACCAGGACACCCCCTTTCAGTATACATTCAGCATGTGGGGCACGTGAGACGACAGGGACAGCTGTCTAGCAGTTCCCTCCTGTGCGCCGCCTGGTTTGACGAGCGGCCGGCCGCGTGCGCTGGGAGGGTCGGGCCGGCCTACCCGCCAGCAGGCGGGCTCAGCCGGCAGAGCCTTTGCGGTCTGTTGCTTCTCCGAGTTGCTTCTTATTTCTTCGTTTAGCTTTGTTACATCTGTGGTCAACTTTGATAATCACTTCAAATTATTCGAATGAATTACACTCCTCTCTTCTGAGAGTGGGTGTGTTGGAGGTCCATTCTGTGAGGCTTGCCGTGTCTGACAAAGTTCTTTATGTCACACTGGATTGAAGATGTCACTGGGTCAGGCTTGAATTTTCATTAGTTTTTTTATGTTATAATACTTTATTTTTACACCATTTTCTGCCTTTCCCGTCTCAGTTGTCCTCCCCGTGGGCTTCCCATCACCAGTCACCCATGTGCATCACCATGGTCCCCGCCATTTTTGATCCCAGTGTCTCTGGTATATAGCTGTTCATTACTTTTGTTTTCTCCCCTGGTCCTTTAGATTGTCATTAGGTTTTTTTTTTTTTTTTTTTTTTAAGATTTATTCATTTATTTGCACAGAACTGGGGTACAGGCCAGAGATGCGGAGGGTGAGAGGATTCACAGACACAGAGCGAGGAGCAGAACCGGCAGATCGTCGCATTCCACGGCTGAGGGGAGCCGCGGGCGAGCAGCGGGCGGTCAGGAGAGGTCTGCCGCGCCCCGGGGGTCAGCTCCGGGGCAGGCCAGGATCACGCGGAAGTGGCTTTAGCTTCTTTGTGCTGCTTTAACCGGAGGGCCCTCATTAGGTTTTTAATGGGCTTGTTTTCCTGGCTTTTTGGAGAACAGATGTAGCTGATAGATTTTACTTTCAAAATGTTGGCAAGTCTGTCAGTTCCAAAAGAGCAGGGTTTTAGGCCGTGGCCCGCAGCCCCGGGGCTCCGTGGGCCACTGTGTCCCTGCAGGCTTCGTTTCTCGTGGGTTACCTGGATGAGCAGGAGGCGCCTGCCCAGTGGCCAGCGTGGAAGACAGACACTGATGAAGGTTCGACACTGGTTTCCTTAAGCACCTGTTTTCCAGATTTCTGGGCTCAACGTAGCGCCATTGAGGACCCTCAGCGAGGGCTTTCTCGTCCGGAGAGCCGCAGGTCCCCACGCCGAGCGCCGGTCCTGCCCGCGCGTGCGTCTCGCACGGGCCCGGGCCCGGGCCGTCCGGAGCGGCTTGCCCTGCGAGGCCTCGGTTCCAGTTGCCCTTCTGCTCAGCCGCGGCTTCGTCCTGGCACTCACCTGTGGAGCTGATGGTGGCGCGCACGAGCGCCCCGCAGCTCTGGGGCAGGGGCTGGGGCAGCTGCCGTTGGACAGCGCCTCCGCCTGGAGAGAGCCCCGCGGGCGCCAAGAGGACGCCTGCCAGGCTGGAGGTGCCCGGAGGAACCCAGGCCCAGGCTGTCAGCCAGCCCCAGTGTGCCTGGGTGCCACGGCCTCTGGGAGCTGGGGCCGCGGGCACCTGCTCTCCCCAGGTAGCCCTCCCAGGCGTGCCTGCGCCGCCGTCCCTCCGCTGCCCCTGCGCGCCCCGAGCCCCGTCTCTGCAGACTGGGGCTCCGCGGCCCTGGGAGGGGACAGCGCTGGCTGAGCCCTCCCCGGCCTGCGCAGCGCCCGGGAACTTGCTCCGCTTCTGTGACCTTTTCCCTCTAAATGTCACCAGCTTTGCAGCTGACCTGCAGGGTAGTGGCTTCACCTTCTGAAAGAGGGCCCGGGGTCCCAGGGAAAGAAGCGGATGTCGTTTGCTGCGGAGACGGTTTTGTGCTCTCCTCACTGCCCAGGAGGGGGGCTGGGGGCTCGCTGCCGCGGCTTCCTGGCTTCCTGGCTGGGAGGCGCTGCCCCGCTTTGATTTTCCAAAACACAGAGAGGAAATTCAGTTGCAGGCACGCGCCTGACTGGTGCAAAGTTGACTTGGTGACCCCGGTGTATGGTTTCTAGTTTTACTTACATTTTCAGGGTGTGACATTTTTGCCCTCCGTCGGTGCACATGTGCCAGCCGCCGGCCGCCAGCACCCCTGCCCGTGCCTCGCCTGCCCCCTCCGGGCCCACACGTGCTGCAAGAGAGTTTTAAAGCAGCAACTGTTTTCTCCAGGAGCGTGGCGTCGGGCCCTTCCTGGAGCCGGCGCGGCGGTCAGAAGCTGATAGGCCTTCGCGGCTCTTGACACCGGGCTTGACTCTGGCTGCTGCTTAAAGCGCCTGGGCCGCCGCCTCTGGCTGGCGGGGCTGAGGCGTGATTCGGAGGGGCTTGTCCTGAGTGACACAGACGCCGAGCTGCGCGTGGCAGGCCTGCTGGCGGCAGGCGGGGGAGCTTGGGCTTCGCAGCGCCGAGGGCTTCTGTCCAGCCGCTGGGCGCTGCTGCGGCCTGGGAGTGGCGTAGGCGACTCGGCCCGCCACTGCTATGCACCCGGAAGGCCGCTTCGGCCCGCGCAGACCCTTGGCCTGACCCGGGAGCTGGACTGTTGCTGGAGTCTGTCCAGGCTACTCTCTCGATGCTTCTCACCCAGACGCCAGGCCCCGGGAAGCAGAAGGGGTCGGGCGCCCGGGAAGAGCCGTGCGGGTGGCCAGCGCCAGAGCAGGGCCGCGGCTTCTGGTCCTGGTCGGTCTGGTCGCTTCAGGGGTGCTCTGTTACCCTCTAAATCGGGGAGCATCTCAGACACGCCTGGTGTCTTGGTGAGCGAAGCGTGTAGGCGCAGCCCGGGGCTGTGGCGAGGCGTCTCTGCGTTGCAGAGAGCACGCGGGCGGCTGGTTTGCGTTTTTCTTAGCGGCGGGTTGTTACGGTCACGTGCCAGGGATCTTCGCCTACCCCGGGGGCCTGTACCGCTCCGGTTTTCCAGGCCTGGGTCTAGGTTCACCCCCCGCCCCCTGCGTAATCGGGCCCTGGTGTCGTCCCGGCCTCTGCGTACGCAGGGAGGGCGCGCGGCCTCGCCCGTCAGCCCCGCGTCACCGCTGCTCCGGGTCTGCCGGGTCTGCGCACTTGAGTAGGTGTTGGAGAGTCGTGTTGGCAGCCTCTGCTGACGAGCGACCGCGCTGGCCCCGGGGCGGCGTCTCCTCAGTGTCGCGTCCTCACCGTGCCTGCTAGTGCTTCCTGCTTTTGTGCTACTGACAGAGGTTTGTGTTAAGCCAGCTCCCACCTGCTCGCTACTCATGTGTAAGGAGCTGATGATTTTTGCCTACTGACCTTCTATTTTGCAGCGTGCTTACTTTATTTACCAGTTTCTCTTTATTTCCGTAAACAGCAAAATGATTCTCTTACTCCTTTCTCTTTCTCTTTTAAGGATTTAGTTATGCTCAGAGAACTGGGGTACAGGCCAGAGGTGCCGGGGTAAGAGGACTCCCCAGAGACAGAACGGGGAGCGGGACAGGCCGACGGACGAAGTCCACTGCTGAGGGGAGCAGCGGGCGGGTCAGGAGAGGTCTGCCGCGCCCTGTGGTCACCTCCGGGGCAGGCGGGGATCGAACTCCTGCACAAGTGGCTTTAGCTTCCCAGTGCAGTACTGTGACCCGCCCCGCCCCCAGGGAGGGCCTACACTGCTTTTTTAAAAAGCTCTCGTTCCCGAGGCAGACTGCACACGGTCACTGTGTGTGTGGCCTTTTACTGTGTCACTGAGCTGTGTGTTCTGGTTCATTCAAAACAACTTTGGCATCTACTGGGAGAGTTGTTCTTTCCCTTAGAGTGTGTCTAGCTTCTGTCTGGTTTGGACTGACCTCAGGGCATGAGGCTGGAAGTATTTTTCTAATTTCTGTTTAATTGTTTTCAGTCCTGATCTTTATTACGTTTTTATTGTCCCCTTGGCTTAGTTCTTTCCCCGAGCTCCTCACGGTGCGCAGGAGGGTGGCTGTTTGAGCGCTTTCTCAGTGCAGGCACACGGGCCGTGCATTCCCGCCAGGTGCTGCAGCAGCCGCGTCCCCTAAGATCCAGTGCACGGGGTCCCGCTGCCTTGTCTCAGGTATTCCTGACCGCCGCCCTGCTTGTTTCTTTGACTGTGGGTGAAATTTCCATATCAGTGAATTTTCCAGGTTTTTAAAATTCCTGTCAGTGTCTTCCGGTTTTATTGTATTTGAACATGCTTTCCGTGATGTTGCCCTTTTAAACTTTATGGCGACTTGTCCTCTGACCGAGCATCATGCTGAGGATGCGCCGTGCGCACCGAGGCCGTCTCACAGTCGGCCGGTGGCGGGCCTGCAGGGGTCGCGTGGCCTGGCCTCCCGGTGCGGTCTCACCTGGTCAGTGCAGAGAGCCTGTTTCTAAGTCAAGTCACAGTCACGGGGGTGTGATAGTGGGGAGACAGGACTTCACCGTGTAGTTCTGGGGCACACGATTCGGTTCACTGCGTCAACAAATTCTTGTATTTTTGTTTATCTGTGGGTGTATTTCACCGTCATTTTTGACAGTTTTGCTGGGTATAGAATTCCTTCTTTGAACTTTGGCAATGCCCGGCCTTTATCGTTTCTGACGGGACTCACCTGGGAGTGAAATTCAGGCTCCTGTACTGGCTGGTTTGAGGTGAGGTTGAGATCTGCTCCAGCCCGAGTGGGACCCCCGCAGCCCACCGCCTGCTGTGGCATTTTCTCTGGCTCACGGGTTCAGTCTCTGCACTGACCTATCGGTCTTCCGATCCCCCCAGAACCTTCCTGACGTTGAGAGCGCCTTTTCCCCAGAGCACTTTTTTGCACCGGTCCAAGTGAAGGCGAGTCCTCTTCTCAGGAAAGCTCTGCGCGCTCTCGCTTACCTTAAGGCTTGGGTTCCCTCGGTCACAGACAGCCCTGCTGTGGTGGGGGACAGCTCTGTGTTTGTCTGAGGGACCTGCGTGTCTGGTGGGGAGGGTCCCCGGGCTCCTGGGCTGGGTGTGGGGGCACCCTGTGCTGCGTGTGGCAGGGGCAGAGGCGAGCTGGCCCGGCGTGGGGCGGGACGGGTCAGGAGTGCCTGTGCTGCGCCAGCTTGGCTGCCGTGCCGTGTTCTTGGGTCACCGGTCTGGGCGGGTGTCCCCTGCGCGGCAGCGAGGGCCGTGTGTCCTGTCCACACCCACAGACCGCTGCTGGCACTCCTGCGGCGTTGCAGCGTTCCTTGTTGGCCGGTGCCCGTGCACGCCGGCGCAGCCCGCCCGGGGGGGGGTCCTCTGCCCCCTGCCGGCTTTCCATGTGGCTACTGGAAGGTTCCGGATCGCGGCTGACGTGGTCTGCCCTTCTCCGCACAGTCTCTGCCTCCTCTTGAGAGAGGGTCAATCTTCTGTATGCAAATTTGGAAAAATAGAGAAACTACAAAAAGTAACGAGCGCATTTAACTTCCAGCAAATTAGCATGCTTTTCCGCTGTTACGGTGGAAGCTTTTCTTAGAGCTACTGCCTTAGAGAGAAAATCATGTCGCTGACATTTACGCTACAACTGCTAGTGGTTTTTCACCCCTTACAGCGTCCAGCAAGTTGGCTTTCTTTGGGTAGCTTTGCATTACAGACGTTTCTTAAGGCCGAAACCGCGAAGAGTGGCTGTGCCTGCAGCCTGTGTGAAGAGCCCCGTCTGGGCTCCGTAATGCCGTGTGCTGCCCGACGCCCGCTGCTGAGCGTCTGCCTGACCTTCCTGGCTTCTCTCTCCAGATGACGACTTCGACCAGTTTGATAAGCCCGGCGCGGAGCGGTCATGGCGACGGCGAGCGGCCGACGAGGACTGGGACAGGTACGCGCGGCCCCGGCCGCGGACTCG